AATATTTTCAAATCATATTTGTATGGTTGATAGAAACCTTTCTCATTAGGCTGAATAAATAATTTGTTTGTAAATTGATGAATTCGAACTCGAGATATCAACATTCAAAAGTATGAAGCGGGATCTTAATGGCGGCGGTCTCTGTCAATTCCGACATTTCGCAATAGGGGTTTACAGAGGCAGCCGAGCGTTTGCTTGAACGAAAGTAACATAAGGAGCAATGAAATGTGTAGGGATACTTGGATTGTCACGTCGTAGGTTCGTTGCAATTCGGTGTCAAACTACATTTATTATCCAAGGTCTACTTACAAGTCTTCTTTAATTGGTTTTGGTTGTTTCTCAAAGTAGAAATAGAAAAAGGATTAATGTGCAAATGAAGTACAATATCTATATCTTTTGTTTTGCGTCACGGTAACACATAGCTTAAATCATACTTATAGTAAATAGTTTTTCAAGAATGAAGTAAGTAAAAAACGTGACCACTGTTTTCTAATGCACATTTGTGTCATATTAAATCAATAGAAAGGACAACTGTTACAATAAAAAAAAAATTATTTTTAAAGATAACAATTTTTCAAAGACCGTTTAAGTGACCCATATAAACATTTTATTTTCTCAATGCAAGTTATTGAACATAATGGAATCTTATTTCTTGACCCTCGTAGGGCGATCGAGGCATTTTTTTTTCGGTGAAACATACCACCTTTTTCATGAAAGTGTAAGTAATCGGAATAGTCAGCTTTCGTGATTGAAAATTGAAAAATTAACCATTCATAGCTGATTCACTGCTTTAGTGTTATTTGCCTATATACGATTGATTGATTGATTGTATACTGTTTAACGTCCCTCTCCAGAATATTTCACTGATATGGAGACGGCACCATTGCCGGTGAAGGGCTGCAAATCTGGGCCTATGCTCAGCACTCAGGGCCATTGAGCAGGAAGGGATCTTTATCCTGGCACACCTGCAGTGACACGGGGCCTCGGTCTATACCGTCTCATCCGAAGACCATGAACATTCCAAGAGAATTTCGCTAAGATTTACTCGTTGCGTTGGGCGCAAAATTATGAAAAGTGACCCTTCTTTCATAATTCCAAGACAGATTAACTGTTGCAGAATAATATGTACATACAAGTGAAGTAAGAGTAGTTGTTCAAATAGCGTAATCGATAAGCGTATTGGATTTTCAAGCTAGTGACCCGTTTCAATTACCAGTGTGTCCAAAATATGTTTAATCCATTTTCAGCTTATGGGTTATTTTTCGGAATCGGACGGAAGACCTACTCGTTGCTCGCAACGAGATCGTTTCTAGTTAAGGTCTTCCGACTTCCTTCGGAAGACCTTATTGTTTTCCGTCGGTTTCCTATTATTATTATTATTATTATTCTTTTTTCATAGTTATGGCGATATCTCAGCTGTGACTTTACGGATTCCAAAGATTTTTACAGGAAAGATGCATCAGCTTAATATCTCCAGACGTGTTTTTCATTTTTTCAAAATTTGCTTCCGTTCGCGATTTTTGGGGAAATTTGTATTTTTTAAATGGATTTTTGTACACGACTTTTCTCAAAAACGGCTAAAGATATGACATTGAAACTCATGGACATGAAAGAGCATCACATGTCGATGTGCCGAACGTCCTTCATTTTTTGTCGTTCCTACTTCCGGTCGCAAACGGAAGTGAATTAGAAAAGTGTGATTTTTCAACTTTTTTGTTTTTCAATATTTTTCTTTCGGATTTACAATGTTTATAGAGCGTCTTCAAAGATATCTATATATGTTTTCATTTTTTTCATGCGTGCGTTTATTGCAAAGATATGAACGAACCAAACTTTGTCATACTGTCTGGGGTTCGAATCCCGCTCGGGGCGTTCCCCAAATTTTTTCTTTGCTTTTGTCTTTTTTCAGTTGCAAATTACTTTTCACTCTTTAATAACATGCGTGGAAGATTATGCCGATTTTTAAAAGCTATATTTGGAGATATTTTGTGAAATACCTGGAACAATCACGATCTCTGTTGAGAAACTACTGTAAATGAACGTAAACGAAAAAATACATTATGAAATCTATTTCATGGGATAACGCAGCATAGATTGCAAAAGAGAAGTCGGTCGGAAGACCTGCTTGTTGCAACTGCAACAAGAACGCATCTAGTTATTATTATTATTATTCCTGGGAAAATTTTGTCCTCGAGTGATCTTGTAAACTACACATCCGAGTAAGGTAAAATGTTTTTAGGGTCAGTAGACATGTTATGTAGATTTGCCGAACAAAGGTCATTTTGCGCGCACGTGCTTGCAAGAGCGCGCACGTGCAACATGAAAAATGACGATTTAATTGATATCGGCGTAACTTTTTACATTTTTGATGAAATGCTTTGAAACTCATAATGTAAGGATATATTAGTAGCATAGACAATAAGACATGGTCAAAATAGCAAGATCTCACGCGCATGCACGTGCGCTTCGCTCTGATTGGCTGAAACTAAAGTCTCAATATCTTTCTTGTTTTTAATGAAATCCTTTGAAATTTTGAACATAGCCATGCATTAGGAAATCCTACAAAATGATATATAACAATTATCATGAAAACACGTGCATGCACGTGCGCTGCAATCTGATTGGCTGAAACTTTAAATAGCTATATCTCCCTTGGTTTTCAACCAAACAGGATGTGATTTGGAACATAGATAGATATAATAGACTTCTACAAGAAGGTATGGTCACCATGCACATCCATACACGTGCGTGTACGTGTGCTGCAATCTGATTGGCCGAAACTTTAAATAACTATAACTCCCTTAGTTTTCAATTAAACAGGATGAGATTTGGAACATAGATAGATATAATAGACTTCTACAAGAAGGTATGATCACCATGCACATCAATACACGTGCGTGAACGTACGCTGCAATCTGATTGGATGAAACTTTAATCAGCTATAACTCCCTTGGTTTTCAACCAAACGGAGTGGGATTTAGAAATAGATAGATGTAATGGACTTCTACAAGAAGGTATGTCACCATGCTCATGTATGCACGTGCGTGCACGTGAAATGAATAAAATCAAAAATACACTTGAATGAGCGTATTCTTTAATACTTTTAGATTAAATACTTTAATATTTAGTATATCAAAGTATATAGATTGTGCAGACAAGATGATATGGTCATTGCGCACATGCATTCACATGCGCACGCGTGCAGTGCTAAATTTGAATGAACTTGGTACCCTTCTGGGTAAACGTTGTTAAAGTCTCAAATGCATAAAATTTGTCTTATTTAATGAAGCTTAGAGGGAATATGGCACCAAAAGGGAGATGGGGAGCGTTTGGGGAACATCTGTAACGGTCCCCGTTACAATTAGCACTAGTTTCATTTGCAGTTATTATTCAAAGTTTTATCAAAACCTTAGTTAACATGTTTTTTTGTAAAATTATCAATTGCAGTTAAGGTATTGGATAAAAAAAGATCTTAATTTGTAACTAAAAAAACACTCTCAAATCAGCAGGAAATTATATTAAGGGAGACTGCTTCTTGATATGGAATGATATTAAGAAGAAAAGGAAATTGTTTAACAACACACGACACCTTTGTCACTGCGGGCCGCAGTGGAAGAACACTTAACTAGACTAGTAAAGAGATTGTGAGATGACTTGTATTATGGCATTCATCTCTAGGACATTTAAGTTTGTAGACCTCTCAAGATAAATATGCATAGAATTTTATTATTCGTTAGGTTTGCGTATTAAGACTCAGTGCTGTATAGGCAAGTTAAATATTTGGGTGTTGTCTTTATTCATGTATATCTACGTAATGATTCTCATTTTAAAATATTCAAGCCTATCTTTTCTTTTGAATACGGCAGAAGAAAGCCAGTACATATACCGACTTTCACTGTAAATAATTATTTATAAAGAATTTGAGAACGACGAAAAGATAACCATGATAATGACAAATGAAAAGAGGTGATATATCAAAATAATTTACAGACTAACCTTGATTAATTATCAGTTAATATACTCACCGTCAATAGAAACGCAACACCTTAATTTTAAGGTGAAAATTAGTACAAGTTATAACTATGTACCAAAAGACTGCGTTTTAGCCCTCTTAACAGAATTCAAAATTTTCCATTTTTGATAAAATTTTAACAATATTTTGAGTTTCCAAGGTTTTGAAACTGTTAATCATAAGTTTGTACTAAAAGGCCGGGAAAAAATCCTACTTTCTTTACCGGATGTGATGCCTATATTTCCTCAAAATAACTGATAGCAAGAACGGGGGATGTTTTAAGAGTTATGTGTTACCTGCTAAAGTTTAATGATAACATTAGAAATGAATATATTTAGGTAAAAAGTAAATTTACAAAAAAGTAATGCTCCATTTAAACATATAATGTTATTTTTAGACCTTAGAAAGAAACAAATACCCAGTAAATCTTAAAACATCCCCCCTTCTGACCATTTAATGAAAACGTGCTGGTCCGCCATATACAACAAATGCAGCCCGATTTCTACCATGCATTAAGTTTATTAATGTCTCAATCTGAGCGAAATTAATATTCTTGGGCATTTTTAAACACATGACTTTCAGATATTGTGGTCGAATTTTCTCTAGCCTGGCGTAGTGTAGCAACTTTTGGTCTTCCGGTCAAGAAACTTTTATTTATCCTATTGAAACATATGAGCCTGATGAGTCGTGATATAGTGTACATTTGCATCTGAAGCTCTTTTTTTCTTTATTTTGAGAATTTCCAGCATTAGCAATGAATATGCTTGCATTCAGTCATTTTGAGGAAATATAGGCATCACATCCAGATGTGAGAAAGAAGGATTTTTTCCCGGCCTTTTAGTACAATACTTATGATTAATAGTTTCAAAACCTTGGAAACCCAAAATATTGTTAAAATTTTATCAAAAATGGAAATTTTTGAATTCTGTTAAGAGGGCTAAAAAGCAACTTCCGGTAATGGAAAGAAAATCATTCAACCTTTAGAAAGATGATTTGGCACAGTAAAAGATGTCCTAACTTTTTTGGTACATAGTTATAACCTGTATATAATTTTCACCCTAAAATTAAGGTGTTGCGTTTCTATTGACAGTGAGTATAGTTTCACCTCTTACAAATTGATAAATACTTACTTTTTAAAGCTGTTAAACTCGATGAAGAAAAGCAGTGTGTTGCAATCGCATGCAAGGATTCGACCTTAAAAGCTCGGGACTGTATGGACACTTTGAAGATGTTCTGCAATTCTACAGGTAGGTTCAACATGTAAAGCGTTCTATAGTATAACCCCATCTATGTATGTATAAATTATGTTATATGAAAAATAAATCTTTACACATATTTTTTCTTTGAAATGAAAATAGAGCATGAATATATATACTTGTCAAAATTTCTAAGTCCCCACTTTTATTATTTTAAGTATTCAAAAACCTTAACATAAATTAATTAGTTGTTCACAATTTTGACTTACATTTTCAATGATTATATGTTTTCGGGTGTACATGTATCTTTCATTTATTTAAATTTACATGTGTTCTCCATCTTTATTTGTTTACCAAAAAATAAAAAAGCTTGTTTAAAATGTCCTGTATGTACGAACGACAACGTGCAAGTGAAGTTGACATGGTCCAAGCTGGTGGTATTAATGGAGAGTTGTATTTCCTTCCTTTGTATTTTTTAATGTTTTTTAAAACCTTTAAAATACCGTCAGGAAGATGCACAAAGCATATTTGTTTTCCTTATAATCATTAAAATTTGCTAGATTTTCAACAAATACCACTAATCCAGCCTAAGGTTTAACCGGAAATTTACTAAAACCGGAACCGGAAGTGCCCATGGTCAAGGCGTATACACGTTCTGCAAACGCATCAACAGGGCTACTGCATAAGAATTACTCACTATAATTGTGGAAGAAACCTATCTGCACGTGCAATTTCTTTGCACTCATTAAAAATTAATTAATGTCTCCTTAATTGTCCAAATTATAAAAAAAAAAAATGGAAGAGGGGGAATGCGTGTAAGTAGACCTTATAAACTGTAGGTTTAATATTGTCGGGTAAAATAAAAAATAAAATAATTTCTGCAAGTTTCAATGTCATCCACATCTCAACCCTATAGAACATGAATGGGACAAGATCGACCGCAGAGTGAGACCTTTCCAATAGCAGAATCTAGTTGAACTATAGAGGACGACCTAGTCCATACATGGAATAACCTTCAATAAAGATCTTTCTTAATGTTGGGAACTCTTTGAGAAACAGTTATCTTGATCTTAATTCGTTTGAATGGAGGATAAAAGCGCTATCGAACGTTGCGATTTTTTAATTCTAGGGTGCCTTAACTTTTTTGCATTTTGTGTTAGTGCCCTTTAATAAAATTAGATTAAGTGAAAAAAAAATGTTTTGCTTCTTTTTATTTTGTATAGTTATCAATATATATTGTCGTAATTATTTAGTATAAAAGCAGTGTAAAATAAACATTTACCTGGGGACTTAGAAATTTTGACTAGTATATATATATATATATATATATATATATATATATATATATATATATATATATATATATATATATATATATATATATATATATAATAGTCAAAATTTCTAAGTCCCCAAGCAAGTTTATGCTTTACACCGCTCTTATATTCAAT